TATTACTGAATGGCGCTCAGATCACATGTTGAATGTACCCGTTTTATGCAATAGCGGCACAGTTATATATTTTTATGTATTTTTTTGTATTTTGCTACCATGTGGCTAATGGAGTTTTGCCTCTGTCCTTGGAGATAATTGGATTACTTCCCAATTATCTCCAGGATAGAAGACTCTGTAGAACTGGTTTTGGGCAGAAAAAACATGCTTCATTTGGTCAAATTTCCCTTAACTTTTTAACCCCTGAACTGATTGCCCTGATTTTGAATACGTGTATATTTCAAGCATGCGGATTCTGAATATGTAATTTTTATGAAGATTGGACGTATATTTTTAAAGTTATAGCACATGTATAAAAACTGTATTTTTCCTGCTTGTGATAATTATGTTAACCCATTGTGTACCATAATTATATCACAGGCAGAGGGGAGGATTTTGTGTATAATTTCTGGGAGTTTTTTCTGTAATGTACGTGTGTTATTGGTTGTTCTGTAAAACCCTGTGGGCAGTACTAAGTTTGTGGATTGGTAATAAAAGAGGCTGTATGTGCCAGTACAGTCAGGTCTGCTTGACCTCAAAACGAAGTGTTGTCTCGTTATTGGGGGAATTGGATTGTATGCTGATTGCCAGGAGTGTAAGCTGAATGAATGCTTTTCCTGTTCAGCTGCTTAAGCATTCATATGCTTGAGGGAATTCGTATGCTTCTCCGGTTCGGGGGTTGTGGTGTCTGCTGCAGGGGTTGGAGTCTTCAGGAAGCACTAGTTGCACCCTTCAATGGAGGTACCCAGTCGGGGTGCCAGGTGATCCGTTACATTGGTGGCAAGCGGTGGGATGGCGTCTTAGTGTGAGGTAAAGCAGCTCAGAGACACCGTTCGTGGAGTTACAAATTGAGGGCAACGCTAGCACACGTGCAGCTCCCCTGGGAGCAGAGGTATCCAGCGACTTGGAGCAGACAAATATGGAAGGCTCTGGCGATGATTGGATGGCCGAGGTGAGGCAGCGAGTGGCCCAGTATGGGGATGATGTACCCATGGAGGTACGCCGGTGATCTGGAACCAGGTCATGGCCGAGCGAAACACAAGGCTGGACAGACAATTCCGGCTGGCGAAAGAGAGAGAGTATGCTCAGCGGAAGGAGTGTCACAGCAGCCGAGTAGAGACTGCATCCGAGGAGGTTAGCCGTCTTTCCCTGAGGCGGCCGGAGGAACCCGAAGTAGGGGTCCTCATAGACTGGTCCTGTGAGGAACCACAACAGGCAGGTAGAGATGGGACCGAGGTCTCTCCACCGGGCCACCGGGATGCTGGGCAGCTGGCACAGATCCACACCAGCAGCCGGAATTGCGAGGTGCGGAAGCAGGTGGTCCTTATTCGCAAATGTTGAGAGACCTCATAGACTGGTCCTGGGAAGACCCACAGATGGCAGGTGGAGATGGGACGGCGGTCTCTCTACCGGCCCTACAGGGATGCTGGGCAGTCAGCCCAGATCCCCAGCGGCGGTATGTATCACAGGGAGGTGAAGGTGCTGTCCTTCCTCCCCAGCAGCAGTGTGTTTCACTGGGAGTGGAGAGCAGCGTTCTTCCTCCCCAGCGACAGAGTGCCCTACAGGGAGCAGAGATGACTGGTCTCTCTCCCCTGCGACAGGACACCTTATGGAAAGGGTAGACAGTCGGTCTCCCTCTACACCAGCAGAGAGAGTGTCAGGGAGAGGAGCCTGTTACCCCCTCTCCCCAGCGGCTGAAAGTGTGTAAGGGAGAGGAGCTTGTTGCCCCCTCTCCCCAGCGGCAGCGTAGACCACCAAGGGGAGACACTAAGCCCCCCACCAGCGCAGATGGGACCATGGTCTCTGCGCTCAAGCTACAGGGAGTACGGACAGTCGGTCCTGCTCCCCAGTGGCAGAGTATGCTAAAGGGAGGGGAGGGCCTCGTTCCCCCTCCCCAGCGGCAGCCTAGCGCACCAAGGGGAGATGATAAGCCCCACACCGGTGCAGATGGGACCGTGGTCTCTTTGCTCAAACCACAGGGGGTAGGGATGGTCGGTCCTGTTCCCCAGCAGCAGAGCTGTATATCCAAAGGGGAGACAGTCTGTCTTCCCCTCCAGCAGTAACACCAGGTCCAGAGGGAGGAGCCTACTAACTCTTCTCCTCAGCTGGGCTCCAACCAGGCTACTCCCGTGACCGGCAGGGGCGAGCGAAGGCTCATGGGAAGTGTATGCTGGTCACTGCTGCAATATCGAAGCCGCACGTTGTCTGTAGGCGGCGAGAGGCACCGCGGCACGTGACCGGCAGAGAGAGCAGAGGCTCTTGGGCAGTGTAGTTTAATTTCTGCCGGTCACTGCCAGAAATACTGGACGGCTGACAAAAACATTATTAGTCAGCTGTTCAGAATCTTTATAGTAATTTACACAAAGTTAGGTTATGAAAAACGAGCATTATGTACAACATGTGTATATAACAGTGGTATCAATACATAAAACATATTAGATACATTTTAAAATAATTTGCTTACAGATATTACATGAGAAAACACAGAATAAGGGACACAGTAAATAGAATTGAGGACACAAAAAATGGATGGATTAGGAGCAGATATTAATATATTAAATGGTATATAAAAAATAAAATATAGATAAAAAATAGAACATATATTTGAGTAAAAAGTGTAAAAAATATAAAAAATGAGTTATAAAAAGTTATGCAAATCAAAATCTGCATTGAGGCCTTGTGGTGTGAGGGTTTGTAGTTTATAAACCCATTCCATTTCAACTTTACCTAAAATATTCTTAATATCACCTCCTCTCCATGGTATTGAACATTTTTTAATTCCCATACATTTTAATAATTTAGGGTCTTTATCGTGATTTAAAAAATGTTTGGATACTGAATGATTTAAGTATCCATTTTTGATGTTTCTACAATGTTCGCTTATCCTTATTTTCAGGCACCTTGTGATCATTCCAACGTACTGGAAGCCACAAGGGCATTCAAGCAGATAAATCACGTTTTTGATGTTACAACTTATAAATTCTTTAATTTGATAGGTAGTTCTCGTTCTATTGGAGGTAAATTCGGTAATTTTAGATGGTAGAGTGGAATCGGTAGTTTTACACACAATACACGTTTTGCATTTATAGAAACCTTTTGCTTGAGGAAAAAATGATATTGGATTTGTATTTGAGATTTTTTTAGTAAAATTAGTAGTTAAAATAGATTTAAAATTGGGAGCTCCTCTAAAAACTATATTTGGCTTATTTGGAATAATTTCTTTAAGTTTTTCATCTTGTTCTAAAATGTGCCAATGTTTTGTAATGATTTTTTAAATTTCTTTACTTTCATTATTGTAGTCAAAAGTGATAGGGAGACATATAGAATCATTTTTGGTTTTAGTTTTATATTTTAAAAGTTCATCTCTGTCGATAGTTTTTACTTCATTAATGATTTTCAATAGATCTATTTCTGGATAATTCTTCTCCATAAATTTATTTTTTTAAATATCTGCTTGTTCGTTAAAATTATCTAAATCAGTGCAGTTTCTTCGTAATCTTAAGAATTGACTTTTTGGAACGCTGTCGAGCCATGGTTTGTAATGACAGCTAGTTTTGTCAATGGCTGTATTGACACAGACTTTTTTGAAAAACGTTTTGGTTTGTATTTTATTATCTTTAATAAAAATATCAAGATTTAAAAAATTTATTTTATCTCTGCTAAAATCGTGAGTTAAAATTATACCTTTATTGTTAATATTTAGATTATCAATAAAAGAAGTAAGACTTTATTCAGACCCGTTCCAAATAAAAAAGAGATCATCGATATATCTGAAGTATGAGACCAGGTTCGCCCTAAGGTGGTCTCCATCGTATATTGTGTAAGATTCCCAATCTGACATAAATAGATTGGCATAGCTTGGGGCGAACTTGGTACCCATAGCATTGCCTCTTTTTTGTAGGTAAAAGGAGTCTAAGAACCAAAAATAGTTATTTTTTAAAATAATATTTATCCCTTCTAATATAAAATCTATCTGTTTTGTGGAGAGTCTGTTTTCACTGATTAAAATATTTTTAATAGCTGCACATCCAAAATTGTGAGGTATAATAGTGTACAGAGACTGTACATCACATGTAGCTAAAATAAAGTTAGAATTCCACTTAAAATGTTTTAAAAAGTTTAAAAGGGACATTGAGTCTTGTAAGTAAGATTTCATTTTCTTAACAGCAGGTTGAAGAAGAGTATCTATATATTGCGAAAGGTTACAGAGAAGAGAGCCTATTCCTGACACTATTGGTCTACCGGGAGGATTAGTTTCATTTTTATGTATTTTTGGGAGAAAATAGATAACCGGAATAATTGGGGATTTTTTATCTAAGAAATTAAACTCATGTTTGTTAAGAATACCCGAGGACAAAACTTTCTCTAGAAAAACAGAATATTTTTTATACTTGTAGTGGGATCTGATTTTAGTTTTTCATATATGTCTGTATCGTTTAGTTGTCTGTGTGCTTCTTCAATATACATAGAGCTAGGTAAGATAACCAGACCACCTCCTTTGTCTGCAGGTTTTATGACGATTTCTTTGTCGTCTTGTAATTCTTTAAGAGCCCTTCTTTCAGCATTAGTTAGATTGTGAGGGTCTTGTTTTTTTGTGTGTAGCTTATCTAGGTCTTTAGTGACTAATTTCTCAAAAACAGTTAAAGGGGCTGTCTTCATAAAAGCAGGATAAAATTTAGATTTTTCTTTATAATGTGTGTTTATAACCTGGTCCCTTGAAGGGGGAGGGGGAGATAATAATGGACTGGTTCTGTTTTTTTCTTTGAGATCAGAATTTTCTTCTGTTTTTTCATTAAAATACCGTTTTAAAGTCGCTTTTCTAACAAATTTATTAACATCAATAAAAGCTTGAAATGATTTAAAAGAATTGGTCGGGCAAATTTGAGTCCTTTACTTAAAACCGATAGCTGAGCATTTGTAAGGTTTTTTTGTGTGAGGTTAAAAATCCCGCTATGTGAATCCTTTGTCTTTGGTATTATCTTTCTAGTTTTTCTCTCTTGCTCGCGTCTCCCACTTCTTCTTCCTCTAAACTTAAGGTTCTTTTCTGGGATCGAGATGGATGGGGCGTATGGGTCAGAGTACTTGGATGTGTGCGTATCTCTAAAAAATGGTCCTCGTTTTCAAATTCAGAATCGATGGACAGCAATTGGTATCTATTATTGTGGTGTGGAATAGTGGGTGATTTAAAATTTTCAGTGCGATCGTTTATGTACCTAGATCTCTGTGGTTTTGGTGAAAGATATCTTTTATTGAAATGTGTATTATGGTGATATTTTCTGGGTGGAGAATAAGTCTGCCTTTGGTTTTGGTGTGATAGTGTTTGGTACGATTGTGTATTAGATTTAGCAAAAGTGTCGGAGTAAGAGTGAATTTGATCTTTGTGCAATCGTTGTCTATAGGGTGAATTTGAGGGTTTTCTTTTGGTATAGTTTTGATATTGATGTTTGTGTTGATCATAGTGACGAGTGACATTGTTATGTTTTCTTGGTTGGAAAAGTGTTTCCATTTCAGTGTAGTTTTTGTTTGTTGTGGAATATTCTTTATGATTTGGGTATTGTGTGGTATATTTTTTGTTTAAATGATAAGTGCGTACTTGTTTATTTGCGTAATCTGTCTTGTCTCTGATATATTTCTTGATTTTGATATGTTTAGTGTCTATTTCTACTTTTTCGATTTTACTTTGAATTAATACACAATTTTGATTGTATGCTTTTGTTTCCGTGAATGGTATAAGTTTTTCCCTTAGGTTATTAATTTCTGAGTCTAGGATAGATAGTTTTTTACTTTTTTTAACTATCAAAGTTTCCATTAAACCTAAAGTACATACTTCTAATTTGTTGTTCCATTCTTCCATGAATTCCAAATCGTCTTGGTCAGAGGTAGGCAACTTAAGGAGTCTTAGGCCCCGGGGAGTGATTCTTTCATCTATATATTTTTTCAAAGTAGCAATTTCCCATTTTAATTTTATTTCAGAAGTGAGGGATCTCTCTAATTTTGTGAATAATTCTTGCTGACTAAAAGTAGGATAGCTAATATGAATAGGGCTATTAGTTTCTGTGTCGAAAACATGATCTACATCAATGATGTAATTGTTTCTATAGTCAAAAATAGACATGATAGAAGATAATTGCAAAGCAGCTGACTCCAGAGGGAATTATACAATACGTAGAAAGAAGGGGGGGAGGAGTCTGCACTAAATAGCAAAGGTGAGAGCTGCAACCCTCAAAAGGGAATCCCTCAGGAACCCTTAATAAGATATAGAAAAAGAAAGAGAGGGTGAAGGGCTGCGCTAAAATAAAAGTAAATAAAATATAAAATATGAAATAAGTGGATAATAGAATATTACAATAAAAAATACAGTAAGAGAGATAAAACAAAGTCCATGCACTAATATATTTTCTTTTACCAGTATGCATTTAATCATTAAGAGAAGGAAAGAAAATTTAAAAGAGCTAGATAAAGAGATCAACAGATGTCAAGATACCTTACTCAACTCCACTAATGAGGAGCAATTTGAGAACATCACCTCCCACATTGAAAGAAATCTAGATAAACTTGAAGCAGAAGTTATAGGAGTGAAAAAGAACAAATATCTTAGAGATGTACAGGACTATGAACAAAAACAAGTTAGATCTTTCTCCAAATATGCCCAAAAATATCAAGTGACTAAACAGGCCACCCCTATGGGATTAAGGCATAATAATCAATTAGAGGAAATCAATGAAGAACATACAAATAGAACATATAAGGAGAATTATTATAAATCTAACTACCCTAGGAGATTTTTTCATAATGAAACAAGAGAGAAGTGGAGACCAAGATTAAATACCACTAGGGATAATTATAATCACACAAATATAGGGAGGAATTCAGAAGGAGAGAGAAGGAATTATAGGAATAGGAAAGATTTTCAGAATTATAGAGAACAGAGACCATATAGACAATACCAGAGTAATCAAGAAAGAATCCCCACTTACAACAGATATGAAACTCTGTTAGACTATAAACCAAAGACAGACACAAGTTAGATCAAGAGCTAAGTATTCCAACAAATTCCAGGAAAAGGAGAGCCTCAGATATAGAGGAACAAGGGGAGGAAAGCGAATACAGATCAAAAAGAAGGGACCTGAATCTACGGAATTAATAAAAGGCATTTTTAATTTAAGCGATAAAACTCTTGATAACCATCATAAATCAGTACTCAATAAAGGGTTAAAATTTGCCCCTAGCACAGGATTAAACCACTTCGATATGTATATAGATTTAAATCGCTTTAAAGTAGTATATGTTTAAAAAAAAAATTTCTGGGTGACCCGCTTAACAGGGAACAAATTAACCAAAATATAAATTTAGAGGATGAGTCCGGGTTTAAACATACCTCCCTTAAAAATAAATCCTCCTTCTACCCCAAACAAATGTTATCAGACGAAATAATAACATTCGAAACTATGGTCATAACAGAAATGAATAAAATTATTCCAAAAGATAAATTTAAAGATAATTTGACAATATTGGAAAAAAAGGCACTTAAAGATCTTCAAACAGACAAAAATCTAGTTATTAAACCAGCAGACAAGGGAGGGGGGATAGTGCTTATGTCTAAACAGTTTTACGATACAGAAGCAAACAATATTTTAAAAGATTCTAATACTTACCAACAATTAAGAATGAATCCAAGTGATAGTATTAATTCTCTTTTTTTAACTTTTTTTAATAAAGTGTTTAATGAGAACATTTTAAGCTTAAAATAATTCCAGTTTTTAAATATTAAATTTCCCAAAATACCAGTTTTTTATTTTTTACCTAAAGTCCATAAAGATGTAGAAAAACCTCCAGGAAGACCCATCATAGCTGGCATAGACTCCATTTCAAGCAGACTATCACAGTATATAGATGTTCAATTGCAACCTTTAGTCCTGAAAAATAGATCACACATTAAGGATACGATTACAGTCTTACAAGTTTTGGAAGGTATGCCTTGGGATAAAGACTGTATCTTAGTCACTTGTGATGTGGCGGCCCTTTACAGTAACATTCCCCATTCCCATGGATGTAGAGCAGCGAGACACTTTTTAATGGAATCAAAAGAATTTAAACAAGAACAGATAGAATACATAGTGGAAGGAATAAAACTTATTTTAAACAACAATTTTTTTTGGTATAACGATACCTTCTTCCTACAAACGAATGGGACGGCTATGGGGACCAAGTTTGCCCCCAGCTATGCAAACCTATTTATGTCTTTTTGGGAGGAATCCTACGTTTATGAGGGGCATGGCTGGGGGGAAAACTTGGCCTTCTATGGCCGATATATCGATGATATTTTATTGATTTGGAGGGGAGAAGAAAGTGACCTAGTCTCCTTTTTAGAATTTCTAAATACCAATTATTGGGGCATCAGGCTAAGTAGTACTTGGAGTAAAGAAATAGTAACCTTTTTAGATCTTGATATTTTTATTGAAGAAGGTAAAATTAAAACTAAAAATCATTTTAAAAAAGTTGATTGTAATAGTTTTATAGAGAGCATAAGCTGCCATCACTCTCCGTGGTTGGAAAATGCCCCTAAGGGACAATTCCTTAGAATTAGACGAAACTGCAGCGATTTGGAAGTCTATGATGAACAATCATCACGGATAAAAACTGATTTTGTTGTGAAGGGCTATGATGCAGAAAAATCAGAGAAATCAAGAAATGAAATAAGAAATAAAGAGAGAAAGGATTTATTAGTATATAAAACCAAAACTATTACTAATACACAAGATATTCCCTTCATCTGTAATTATAACAATAATAATTATCAAATAAACCGAATTATCAATAAATATTGGCCGATCCTATTACAGGATCCAGCACTGAAACAAATTCTTCCTGCGAAACCTAGGATGATTTATAGGGGTGCAAAAAATCTGAGGAACACCCTGGTCCAGAGTTCTCTAAAAGAACAAAACCATACCTCCACTGTATTTAACAATGAGAAGGGATTTTACGGTTGTGGTCAGTGTTCTGCCTGTAAAAAGTCAGGATGTAAACGAAGAGTAATAAAAGATATAACATCGAATAAGGATAAGAAAATTCAAATCAAGCAATTTATAACATGCTATACTAAAAATGTAGTGTATCTTTTAATTTGTCCATGTGGACTGAAATATGTGGGGAGGACAACAAGACCACTGCATACCAGAATTAGAGAACACATATACAAAATTCAGACAGGTTTCGAGCAACATAGTGTCTCGAGCCATTTTAAATCATGTCATGACCAAAAACCAGAGGGTTTACAGTTTATGGGGATTAATAAAATAAATAAAAATTGGAGAGGTGGGGACTTCGTAAGAGATTTAGGTAAACGTGAGATGGAATGGATCTACAGATTAAATACGTTAACCCCACATGGTCTTAATGCAGACTTCGAGTTATGCCATTTTGTATGATGATTTTTTCTTTAGTATTATATTTTTATATTTTTTTTGTTTTTTTTTAAGAATTGGTTTCTAAATTTTAAGGATTTTTTTAGGTTAGTATTTATAAAAACTATTTTAAGATCTAGGTGGGGAAACACATGCAGTTAGACTTAACAATATTTTATGCACGTTATTTATATATATATATTATTTTTCTATTTATTCTGTATTGGATTTTAGAGGTAATTATATAGATACAATAGATATGTACGATTTATGTATAATGATATAAGTACAAAAAGATATGAAGATCATTTCGTTTAGATAATTCACTTATAATAATCTATAACCATGTATGCAAAAAGGATTGGAAGATTACCTTGCTAAGATTGCTAAACTAATAGATCGGGGTTCAAACAATAATAATCATAATAGCCTCCACAATAATTATTTTGCAATATTTTAATCTTTTTTTGCAATTAGTTAATTAATTTGCTGTTTAGAAAACAATTTATAAATTATTGAGGACATTTAAGAATAGCACACAAAGATGTGTTACTATTTTGCCTATCCCCAATGAAAGGGGATATGTAATAGTACCACAATTTTATTTGGGGTCTTTATTATTTATCTTTATCGATTGTATTAAAATCGAAATGTCAAAATGTCGATAGTTAACTAAGACTGACAATGTATCTATTATAGTATCATTATGAACTAGAATTGACAAAACAAAATGTTACAGATAAAAGAGATTGAAACATTTGTAATAATAAGAAAACTGATGCTGTCTTTTATTTTCTTGTTTCTATTTTCTTTTTCTTTCCTTTTTTATATATGAGAATAAATATTATTCTTCATCAGATGGACTTTTGAGGACATTAAAGGATTCAATTTTAATACCAAATGATGAATCTTTAAGGTATATATCAGCTATTGAAAAACTAAGACGAATTGGAATGACAAGAAAGAATACAAGCATCTCCGCTCCCGGTACCAACATAAAAGGGAGACATGGACCGCACACGTCGTACCTGTGGGTGGCACTGACGTGTGACGGTTAATGTGCTTTGGAATTTGCCCGCCGTTTTTGTGTATATTTAAACTTAAGAAGAGGAGTTCCAGGATTACTGCTGCTTTTTTACAATCTGGTTTGAAGAAGCCACGTTTGTAGTGGCGAAACGCGTCCCGGTATTTTTAAGCACATTGAGGCTATTTTATTTATATATATGAGTGTATTAAATAAATAATTGTTTTTACTTTTGAATGATCCTGGTTCCCAATATCGTTATATTGAATGGGGAGTGCAGTCCCGAATTTGCACAACGCTGTGAAATTGAGTCAATATGTTTTGACTCCACATTTGTGAGTACCCACTTAAAGATCATATATATTTTCTCAGAGATATCACAAACGATATTGCGCAATTTGGTGTATTTCTATTCATCTACAGACCTCAGGAACATATTGTGAGGAGGGTTTGGGTCACCTGTATGGACCCAGAAGCTATTCAAACTAGAGCTAAGTCGATAGCTCTCCGTTTGTGAGTTCATTTACTACTCATTAATAATAAATGTTTATAAGTGTGATCTATACTATGTATGATTATCTTTTTTAGACATTTTTTCCTGCCGATTTTCCAGTGACATTTTACTTCAAAACATTTTTTAAAAGGTGATTAATTTCTTTATATATAAGCGCTACATTCTTAATTTGTTTTGCATGCACTAATATAAATTAAACTTAAAAAGTCCAGTAAAATGCAAAAAGACGTCTCACGCCACCTACAGACATCGTGCGGCTTCGATATTGCAGCAGTGACCGGCATACACTTCACATGAGCCTTCGCTCGCCCCTGCCGGTCACGTGCTGCGGCTTCATACTCCCGATCATGTGATCCCCTTCAACACAAATTATTAAAAAACTGAATGCTCGTTTTAATGAATAAACTGTGTTTTATACAAGATTTTAATCATATATATATAATATTTTCAGTTCTTACCAATTTGATAAACTTGTAAAATATTCTGCTAATCCTTGCCTGTAATTGGTGCACTTGTTTTAGGCGCCAATTTCAATTACTGTATATTTGTTATATAAACTGTTCCATGCCAGGTTGTTGTTCTTAGCCATTTTTGATAAAGCCCATGAGGTGAAACACGTTAAATGGTTTTTTAATGTGTAACTTAACAATAAAAACTTTTATTTGGTACCCTTATTTATAGAACCAATTTTGTTTTATTGTATAAACACATTTTTTATTTATTTGTTTTATCCTGGCATCTAACTGTTGCTGCTTAAAGCAATCCACAGGTGGTGATTATTCCACCGGCGCTTAAATAATAGAGCAGTATTTCCTGCTCTTTCATTGTGAGTATATTTTATTTTATTTTATATTTTGTTTTCTCTTCCTACTGAGAGCACTATATTTTATTTTTATATACCTTGCAGAAACCTACGCTACCCAAGCCGGACGGACGGACCCAATTCATCAGCAAATCCATTAGCGGGGATTAAACCGCTAAGTGCCTTTCAACTAAGAGCTGGTCCAAAAGCTCCAACAAATGTGAGTGTACTATCCTCCATTTTGTTCTTTTCGCTAATCCTCTCAGTACATACTATACCATTGGAAGTTTGTTGTGTTTTTTATTTTTCATATACGGACTCCCTGAAAACTCGGAAGGATTAATCTTTGAGGACAGTATATACTACTTATCTACATATCAGGGAGACGTCTTTTTGCATTTTACTGGACTTAAGTTTAATTTATATTAGTGCATGGACTTTGTTTTATCTCTCTTACTGTATTTTTTATTGTAATATTCTATTATCCACTTATTTTATATTTTATATTTTATTTACTTTTATTTTAGCGCAGCCCTTCACCCCCTCTTTCTTTAGCTATGCCATGGAGCCCATTCGTATAACAAAATACTATGTGAAAGACTTTGGCTCCATGGCAATTGAACTGTATGTATGTGATCTGAGCGCCATTCAGTAATAATTTGCGCTCAGATCTAAGCTATCTGGGGATATGTTGAATGTACCCGTTTTATGCAATAGCTGCACAGTTATATATTTTTATGTATTTTATTGAATTTTGCTACCATGTGGCTAATGGAGTTTTGTCTCTGTCCTTGGAGATAATTGGATTACTTCCCAATTATCTCCAGGATAGAAGACTCTGTGGAACTGATTTTGGGCAGAAAAAACATGCTTCATTTGGTCAAATAGGACTTTCCCTTAACTTTTTAACCCCTGAACCGATTGCCCTGATTTTTGAATATGTGTATATTTCAAGCATGCGGATTCTGAATATGTAATTTTTATGAAGATTGGACGTATATTTTTAAAGTTATAGCACATGTATAAAAACTGTATTTTTCCTGCTTGTGATAATTATGTTAACCCATTGTGTACCATAATTATATCACAGGCAGAGGGGAGGATTTTGTGTATAATTGCTGGGAGTGTTTTCTGTAGTGTATGTGTGTTATTGGTTGTTCTGTAAAACTCTGTGGGCAGTACTAAATTTGTGGATTGGGAATAAAAGAGGTTGTATGTGCCAGTACAGTCTGCTTGACCTCAAAACAAAATGTCATCTCGTTATTGGGGGAATTGAATTGTATGGAGTGTAAGCTGAATGTTCAGCTGCTTACAGCATTCATATGCTTGAGAGCATTCGTATGCTTCTCCGGTTCGGTGGTTGTGGTGTCTGCTGCAGTGCTTGGAGTCCTCAGGAAGCGCTAGTGGCAACCTTCAACGGAGGTACCCAGTTGGGGTGCCAGGTGATCCTTTACAAGAATGATGAGAGAAAAACTGCAGTTTTTTTTAAAATTTCATAATATTTATAATCCTCAGAAAGAAGATAGAGAACATGGACAAGCAACTTCCTTGCACATAATCTATGCAGAGGTTATGCCTAGAAAGAGACCAAGTTGTCCCTAATTCCTTTGATTTCACCATAGATTCAGCAAGGTTGTCAGTCCACAGATTTGTAGATTACTGAAGACCAATCTCAGACTGACCCTCTCTAGGACTTGACCTTCCTTTCTTAAGTCATTCTTTAGATGATTTTGCAGTGTGTTTTGATGTAATATTTGACAGATGACAGCAAATAAGCTTTTGGCCACCACTTAGCTTGACGGTAGGTACTGTGTTCTTTGAGTCATGAATTGTGTTGACCTTTCTCCAAACATATATTTTGGAATTAAGGACAAAATGTTCTGCCTTGTTTTTATTCATCAGTGACAATTTTATCATTTTTATTTTAAGAAATTAAATATGTCTACTGCAAAATATATAGCAGCCTAAATTTGTTAATCTTGAGAGATTACTTCCATCTTGCTCCATACCTTTACAGCACTAAAAACTAATATGCAGGGATAGGAAAGCTACTTTCATACAATTTTGCGTAAAAGTTAACATTAGACTTTTGTTAGCCATCCGTCTGTGCTTTTCCTATGGTCAACCACCATGTTTCGAGTGACATTTTGATTTCCACAGTGTTCCATGACATTCGCTGAGTGACCATTTTAACAAACAGTGACTACAACTCAATATATAGACCATGAACACATGCTAAAGAGAATTATTTGTTTTACAAATAAACACGAGAATTGGCAGGCTCCTTTGCTAACAATTACCATGATATGTCACCTGGTGGCTCCAGTATCTCAAAAGAGCAGAACTTCTGGGATCTTCAATTACTAAAGTCAACGGAGTTTTCAGGCAACATCGAAGTGGATGCAAATAGTCTGCACAGTACCAACAAAATAGTGGTATTAAGTATAAAAAAGAAAGAAAATACTTCCCCATTAAATCTTATTGTTGTGGTCGTGACTTAAATATGAATATTAATCTCTTAATACATAATAATTAAGCAATACGGAACAACATTAATATTTTTATAGTTCATGGTATTATGGTCGAATAAGTGGATAGAAAATACACAAAACATTGTAATATTAAATGTATATTTAATATAACTATAATAAATAAACAGATGCTAGCAGAATGTCAATTTACCACAATAATTATACAATACAAAACTACAACATGTTACTTACAAAAGGCACAATAATTATACAATACAAAACTACAACATGTTACTTACAAAAGGCTATCGGTTGCTAAATGTTACAATGGATTCATACTACTTACAAGGCCCCAGTCCTTTGGCTGGGGTTAAGTCAGAGATGGTACTACATCTTAGGTTCAGTCAGGTACAGGCAAAGAGCCAGAGTTTCTCCTACATCTGGTTTTTATTAAGTGTATTCCTAAATAGGCTGGCCTGTGATGTCACTGCCAGAAGCACGTCTTCCTACACACTGCCCTTGGTGGTGCCTCCAAAGCATTACACTAAATATGCTTTTTTATGATGTAAAGTCATTAATTAATAAATACCATTACACTTCTATATAAACATAAAAAGTACAAACATCTAAAGTCATCTGGTACACAGGACAAGGTACATGCAAAGATGTACATAAACAAAAAGAAAGAAATACATAGTGTAATACATTAATACAAATGTGTGTATAATTTAAAAGATGGAACCACTCACATGTATTAGAGCCATGATCAGGTGTGACATGTCATGATTCCCTTTTATTCCAGAAGTTTGGTCCTTAAGGGGTTAAAAATGGTGTATATGTTGCAGTGATATAATATTTCAGGAACCATGAGACCTATATACTTCATTTTGGTGTCAAAACTCCAAATGGTTTTGGGGGTCAAGTAGTCTTTCAAAATGGTGACTATAATAGAGGAAGAAACAAATAAAAATTATTTTTAATCCAGATCATAAACATTGTGCTTATAGTGTCCCTTTAACCCCTTAAGGACTGAGCCAAATGTACACGTTGTGAACGAAACAAAATGTAAACAAAACCTGGCATTTGCGCTACATGTCTGTCCAACCGTAATTAACCTCTTTCATATTAAATGCACCCACCCTTATTATATATCATTTTATTCAGGGTAAACAGGGCTTTCATTTAATATTGAATATTTAGCTATGAAACATAATTTAATATGAAAACAATGGGAGAAAATAAGATTTGTTTAGATTTTTTTAGTTCTACATGACATTTTAACTGTCAATGTCATAATACTGTTTGCTTTTACTACAATAAAATACACATGTTTGTATTCAGCAAAGTCTCATGTGTAAAACAGTACCCCTTATGTACAGGTTTTATGGCGTTTTGGGAAGTTACAGGGTCAAATATAGCACATTACATTTGAAATTGAAATTTGCCAGATTGGTTACGTTGCCTTTGGGACTTTAAAGTAGCCCAGGAATGAAATTTACACCCATAATGGCATACCATTTGCAATAGTAGACATCCCAAGGTATTGCAAATGGGGTCCAGTCTTTTTTAGTAGCCATTTGGTCACAAAAACTGGCCAAAGTTAGCGTTAGTATTTGTTTGTGTGTGAAAAATTAAAAAAACGCCAATTTTGGCCAGTGTTTGTGACTAAGTGGCTACTAAAAAGGACTGGACATATCCCGTTTGCAATACCTTAGGTTGTGTACTATTGCAAATGGTATGCCATCATAGGGGTAATTTTCATTCTTGGGCTGCCATAGGGTCTCAAAGGCAACGTAACCAATCTGGCAAATTTTAATGTGAAAAAAATGAAACACAAGCCTTATATTTGACGCTGTAACTTTTGAAAACACCATAAAACCTGAACATGAGGGGTACTGTTGTCCTCGGGAGACTTCGCTGAACACAAATATTTGCATTTCAAAACAGTAAAAAGTATCGCAGCAATAATATCGTCCGTGTAAGTGCTGTTTGTGCGTGAAAAATGCAAAAAACATAACTTTTACTGGCGATATCATCGTTGTAATATATTTTACTGTTTTGAAACACTAATATTTGTGTTCAGCGAAGTCTCCCGAGTAGAAGAGTACCCCTCATGTACAGGTTTTATGGTGTCTTGGAAAGTTATAGGGTTAAATATAGTGCTAGCAAATTAAATTCCCTTTACTTTCGGCATGGGTTGTCAGGCAGGTCCCGCTAATTGTAATTAATTAAGATACCTAATTATGTAAAAATATTACATAAATATATGTGTAGAATTAATATATGTATATATATGTATCTTTATATATGTTTATATATATAATTTTTAAAAATATTTTTATTTATATATAGGTATATATAGTGATATATATATATGTATATATTTATGTATATAGATATATATATTATTTTGTTCTATGTGTATTTTGATATATATATATTAATATCACTATACAGTTAGAACGAATTAACACACATCTATATATTTTTTAATTATTTTTTAATATTTTTTAACGTATTTACATATTTAATTTTTTATATTATATATAAATATATATATAACAATAATTATATATTTAATCAATATCAGTCTACGTGTAATTTGATATTAATATATATATATATATATATATAATTATATATATATATATTAATAGTAAAATAAATCTAGACAGTATATGTGTGTATGTGTATGTGTGTATATATATACTAAGATCATATATATATATAAGATCTAAGTATATAATTTTTTTTTTACACTTATTAACTTTATTTTATTTCCAGCCAGCAGGGGGACTACCTGTCATTACAGGCAGCCCCCCTGCTGGCAATGCAGCAGCCAGCTATCCTGGCCATGTGATTGTGAGGTCCTCCAAGGACCTCACTCTCACATGGCCGGGGGGGCTGCAGGAAAGAAGATGTGCCACAGGGGGGGCTCCCTGGGAGTCCCCCAACCGCGATCGCCGGCGTGGGACCGCCGGCAACCGGGTAAGTAACGAAAGTATGAGAATTCATAGAAATTGCACAGATGTAAGCTCTTTTGAGACTCAAGCTACCAGGATTAAAAAAACTTTATAAATAAGTTATATGAAGAAACGTCCCTTTCAGACACTATAAAAGAAGTAAAAACAATGGAGAGATCTTCCCTATTAAAATACAAATTGAAAAATGAAAATAATAATATACCTTTTATCTGTAATTTTAATCAAGAGAGTCATAAAATTAAAAAAATAATAAGCAAACACTTTCTTATACTAAGGAATGACCCGATGCTACATTCCATATTACCAGAAAAAAACTAAATTAATTTAAAGAGGAGCTCCTAATTTAAAACAAAAATTGGTTCATAATCACATAAAAGATAGCATGTCTACTCCCTTTTTTCAAAAAGAAGGTTTCTTCGGCTGTGGACAGTGTCTAGCATGTAGAAACACGAAAAGCACTAAAAGACACATTACAGAATTTTATGACCAAAAGGGAGAAAAGAAGTATAAAATACGACAAATGATCACATGCTTCTCAAAAAGGGTAATATATATACTAAAATGTACATGCAATCTCTTTTATGTAGGCAGAACGAAACGTCCCCTACAAGTAAGAGTAAATGAACATATAAGGAATATCAAAAAAGGCTATGATAAACATAGCGTCTCAATATTTAGATTTTATGGCGATCCAAAAAGTTACATTGAATTGGCGAGGGGAAGATGAAATAAGAAAACTAGGTAAAATTTAAACAAAATGGATTTTTGACTTAAACACTTTAGCCCCTTTAGGATTAAACGCAGATTTCGAGCTATGTTATTATTTATAAAATAAAAAGACGGACACTTTTATCATTAGGATTATTTTTATTTCTCATATACATATTCTCCACTAATTATCACTTAATCTTTATTATTATTATTATAGACATTTTTTATTACAAATTATATCTTATCAACTCAATATTGATAATTTTTTCATGATTATGTTTATATATATTATTTATTTAATTTTAATTTTTCATCTTTCATTTTTTTTTTTTATTCTTTATTTTTGAGTGCAGAGGTAAATATACGTTTCAGGATTATAACATGACTTTAGAAAGAGATTGACAATGTTCCGTATAGCATATTCAAGGTGTGCTGCACTTTTTCTCTTTTTTAACAGGATTAATTTCAAGATATAAAACAGGCTTGTCAACATTTTCTGTTGTATGTATTATAACAGGAGATAGCTTTCTTCCGAGCGCATCTGAGAGGAGTGGTGGGTGTTAGGTGTCTCAAGAAGATAGGCTCTTAGGTGTGCCCTTATGATGTGTGAGAGGGTCGTATGAGGTTCTGTGTGGAGGCTTGCAGTGGCATCCCATGTGTATGCCTGTGGTATTCTGAGGGGGTTCCCCGGTGTGTGGGGTGTCGTTTGCCTAATGGCTGTGATATTAGGGTACGTGGCTAGGTGCTCTGCCAAGGCGTCTGAGGGGAGATGTGTGACCTCCTCTTTATGTGTTGCCCCTAACCCAAGGAGTGTGGGGGGCGGGGGGTTTGCAGTATCAGTGTGCCTCAAGGAGTTTGTCTCTGCGGGTTCTAGCGCTCTGGTAGAGCAGTGGTCTGGAATGTGTGTAAGAGAGATAAAGAGAAATCAGAAAACCAAATATACAAATGCAACTCATCAAAACAGGTATAACGACTTGTGTCGATTTTGCCCCAGATTTTTTTTGTTCAGGTGCCATGGCCATAAGCATTGGCCCAGTCCCCATTAGTTGTCAGCCGTCCGTTGCCTGTGATCCTCCGGCTCTCGGGACAAAGGGGGTGATGTGGGCAGGGTCCCACGTGCCCCTGGGGGTGGTCGACAATGGCTCCTGGTTGCTGTCCATTAGTCCTAGTGCTTGGATGAAGGCCGGTGCCCTCTCTATTGACGTGAGTGTGTGATTATTTCCATTGTGGGTTACCACAAGCATTCCTGGGGCTCCCCAGCAGTAGGGTATGGCTGCAGATCGTAGCTGAGAGGTGACTGTGCCCAATGACTTCCTCCAGAATAGGGTATTTTTGGTGAGGTCTTGATAAAATGTTAACGAGGAGCCTTCAAAGCATCTTTCATTTTTTAATTTTATTTTTATTTTTCATTTTTTACTTTCATTCTTATTTTTACTTTTATTATTATTAATTTTTTCATTCATATTTTTATTATTTTTTATTTTTATTTATTTTTATTTTTCATTTTTATTTATTTACATTTACTATTTATTTCTATTATTATTTATTATATTTTAATTTTATTTTAATTTTATTTTAATTTTTATTATTATTTATTTTTATTTTTATTATTTTTTATTTTTATTTAATTTTTATTTTATTTTATTTTTTAGTTTAATTTTATTTATTATTTATATTTATTTCTATCTTTATCTTTATTTTTATTTTTAATTTAATTTTTATTTATTTACTTTTATATTTATGATTTATTTTTATCATTTATTTTCATTTATGTTTATTTGTATTTTTATTTATTATTTATTTGTATTATTATTTTTATTATTATATTATGTCATTTTCATTTATTTTATTTTATTTTATTTTTAATTTTATTTTTATTATTTCTTATTATTCATTTCTTGTTATTATTTTTATCATCATTTTCCATTATATTTATATTTATAGTATGTACTGTTTAATACTAAAGATTAATTGATAAACTCAGGAGTTCTACATTTTTATATTAAAATGTGTTTACGAATACTGTGCATTTTTTACACATATTGATTTCCAGATCATGGTGATAATAGGTATACATGTTTGATTTTCTGTGTTCCCCCTTTCTTTTGTGTGCTTGATATTGTTGTGAGCCGATATGGCTCGGATGTGGACTTTGAGGTGGAGACTTTGAGGATTGTGTTCCCTGTGGGGATTGTGACGCGGACCGGAAGTTGCGCTCGAGGTGCAAAGAATCATGGACCCTGTAGTGAACAACATTTGGACCACGCAATTTTCGGCGGGAATGTGAGCGTTTTTAAACACAGAGACAGTAGAAGATGCCTGAGGAAGCCGTTGTAATCGGCAAAACGCGTTTTGGCTTAAAGTGGACTTACTATTTTGTACCACCCATACTTTATCACTTTGTTTTTATAATTCTTACTGTTTGTTATTTTTTATACATGTAATTTTAAAGTATTTTCTCTATATTTTTTTATATTTTAATTGTAATAAATACCCCCTTTTTTACACCATTCACTGGATCCTGCAAAAATAATTCCAGGGAAGGGGTAGTGTCACCCCACAAATTGACACCAGGTTGACATACTTAGAGCCAGTTACCAAAAGGCTCTAAATAAGGTGAGCACTTTAAATTTTATATTTTATAAATACAACCACTACTGGAGATACTACACTTAGTATGATCCTTCTGTGTCTTCTATATATGTTGTGGAGAGGAACATACTTTTGCCTGGAGAGAGGGGTCGTGTGATCTACCCAAAAAGACACAAGACGCTTGGAAGTTTAGAGCCTAAAAACTTGAAAAGGCTCTAATAAATGTGAGTTTAGACACATTCGTCACTTATACACTGTTCCACTAAAATTTGTAATTTACTGCACTATTATTTGTATATATATTTTTTCTCGTTTTATATATATATCACTTTGAGATCATCGTAGAGGGTAAGTGCTTTTTGAATTATTGAAAAACACATTTTCACCTCACATTATAAAATAGCGCTGCACTCTTTAAAAACTGAAGACATAAAAGGTGGGAACACCAGTAAGGTCTAAAGTTTTTGTGTTTTTTGGTGTTTAATAGTAAAATACACCTAGACAGTATATGTGTGTGTATGTGTATGTGTATATATATATATATACTTAGATCATATATATATATATATATATATATATATATATATATATATATATGATCTAAGTATATGATTTTTTTATTTTTTTTACACGGGGGGGCTGCAGGAAAGAAGATGTGCCGCAGGGGGGCTCCCTGGGAGTCCCCCCAACTGCGATCGCCGGTGTGGGACCGCTGGCAACCGGGTAAGTAAAGAAAGACCGGAGGGCGTACTATTACGCCCGGCGGCATTTAGAGCCGCCTAAAATAGGGCGTAATAGTATGCCCTCCGGTCTTAAGGGGTTAAATTCTCATCCAAACCAATTAATTTGAGGTCTATGTTTCAAATTTCTAGCAGGGGATAGGATAAGGCTGTTATGGTATTTGGTATTTAAAGTCTATATAAAGCCTATTCCAAAATAATTACCTAAAATCAGTTTAGTGTTTGTAGATCAAGCATGTCAAACTAGCATCCCACATTAATATATTTGCAGCCCACCTGGCCTGGGGCCACTTTGTGCTGTGGCTGCGACCAGCCGCAAGACAGGAAAGATATTTCCTGTCTGATTCTTGTCTTCCCTCCCATGGCTGATCAAGTGCTCCCATGGCCACAAGAGCGCAGATTGACTGTCTGTCTGCAGAGCTGGCCAGCCACACCCCCTTCCCTCCTGCTCGCAGTGATCCAGTAGTTTTATTTACTTTGTTAAACTTTTTATTAACTTTTATTATTTTTTTAAACTTTTTTGCAGGCATGAGAGGGACAGCCTGAGAGCTCAGGCAGTCCCCCTGCAGGTACTGCATAAGCTGGCTATTCCGGCCATGTAATTGGAAGGACCCCGTGATTACATGGCCCAGGAGGGCCATATCAGACAGTGGGGGTCTGTTTGAGCTCCCAGTCAGACCCCAGGATTGCGACTGCTGGCATGGGATTGGCGGGTACCCGGTTAGTCCCCTGGATGGCGGGGATGTTCTATGCCACAGGTGTTTAGAGCCACCCTAAAAAGAATGGCATAGAATGCCCGCTGTCCTTAAGGGGATAAAATAAATTTGCTCTTTTGTTTATTTTGAAGCCCTACAAGCATGAGGACATCCAGTGTCAGTTGGGCAACTATTTTTATACAGTAATTTTCTAAATAAACCTACGTTTCTATGAAAACTGAAGTTTTTGTTTTTTTTGCGGCCCACATAAACGTAAACCTTATTTATTTGGCCCGTGCTAGTTTTTGAGTTTGACATGCTTTTTCTAGATAGTTTTATAAGCTCATCGGTCTCTTGGTGCATTTTGAGAAAATAATGCAATTATTATACATGGTTCACAGACAAGACTGAGTGCTTACAATATGTAATGTGATATCACACTTTAATGACAAAAGTCATTAATGCCATAAATGGCAGAATAAAGATCTGGGTTACACTACTACAACATAATTATAAGATGGACACAAATTAAAACAAAACTGAAACATTATTCTTATATTCTGTAACCGTTTGCTTATTTTGCAAGATACATTTTTATTTTTTAGTTACTTTTTTTTTAATTTCATACTTTTTGAAACCTAGGGGAAACCATGGCTTGAAAACTAATGAAAAACAAACATATGATTCAAATGGGTATTTCCTTGCTAAACAAAATAAATCATTGTAGACATTTACGGTCATCACAACATCATGTCAACACTATTGCCAAAGGTTTGAACGTAACCAGAAGATAAGTTTGTCTAACAAACTGAAACTTCAGCAAACTCAAGGATCAGCATAATATGTATCTAAATTTGGTTCACATAAACATTCGATGGTATGGTGGGCATTAAGAGCTGATTTGATGGACATGGGGTACTGTGGTGGGAACTAGTGTTGCTGTGATGGGCATGTATAATATCGGGGGTTACATACGTTCATATCGTCACGGGGAGGATGTGTACATAAAGGCTGTTTTTAGGTGTTGGTTTAACATAAAGGTTATGGTGGGATGAAGCTCTAATAAATATGAGGATTACTTGATTGAGAGTTATTAAACTGGCATTGGTGTGGAGATCAGAGATACATTCTGTTATTCACTAGTGTTCATTTTCTGTGATGCGAATTTGGATAATCAGCGATGAAACAAGAATTGTGGTCAGCAAGCCTATAGTTAGAATGGGTAGCATGGATTTGTATTTGTATTTGAGAGAAAATAAGGAAATCAGATAATGATGAGCAGAAACAGTAGACAGGAGTGGTCAAATAGTTTTCTAAAATTAGAATGCAGTATTTAGAGGAAATCATTGTGCAAAGCAAGAAAACTGACAATATTTAAAGTTGTCAAATATGTGTACTGTCCCCTCATGCTTTTAAAACAGCTCTGATACATTGAGGCATGTGCTCCACATGACCTCTGAACATGTCTTTTGATATCTAGTACCAAGACATTAGCAACAGATCCTTTAAGTTCTGCAAGTTTCAAGGTGAGGCCTCCATGGATCGGATTTGTTGTTCCAGTACATCCAACAGATACTCAATCACATTGAGAATGCTTCAAACCATCCCACAGATACTCAATCACATTGAGAACACCTTGAACCTTTTGTTATGTTCTTCAAACCATTCCTGAACAATTTTTCTAGTGAGGCAGGAAGACTTATTCTGCTGAAAGAGGCCACTGCCATTAAGGAAAACCATTGCCATTAAAGGGTGTACATGACCTGCAACAATCTCTAGAACGAGTTACGTGTCAAAGTAACAGCCACATAAATACCAATACCCAAGGAAAACTGCCTCTGCCGGCCTGCCTTCTTACCATGCTGCCCTTTCCTCAGATAATCAATGCACACGCACCCTGCCATATACCTGTTCTAAAAGAAAACATGACACATCACACTAGGCAACCTTTCCCCATTGCTTCATTGTCCAGTTTTCATGCTCATGTCCCTATTTAAGGTGCTTTCGGCAGTGCACAGAGGTCATCATGGGCATTCTGACCAATATGTAGTTATGCAGCCCTATACACAGCAAACTGTGATACACTGTGGGTTCTGATATCTTTAACCCCTTAAGGACCAAACTTCTGGAATAAAAGGGAATCATGACATGTCACACATGTCATGTGTCCTTAAGGGGTTAAGTTTTTAGCGTTTGAGCTACAGTAGCTCTTCTATGAGCTAGCCTTCACTCCCTACATGCATCAATGAGCCTTGGGCACTGAGGACCATGACACCAGTTCACCGGTTGTCCTCCATTGCACAATTTGTGGCAGGTACTAACCACTACATACTGGAAACACACCACAAAACTTGCCATTTTGGAGATGCTCTGACCCAGTCGTCTAGCCATAACTATTTAGCTTTTGTCACTCATATCTTTTTGCTTGACCATTTGTTATGCTTTCAACACATGACATTCACAAATTGCTTGTTCAGTTGCTGTTTAATATATATCACCCCATGACAGGTGCCAATGTAATTATATAATCAATGTAACTCACTTCACCTGCCGGTGGTTTTAATGTGGCTGATCGATGTATAACATTGTACATTATGAGCAGTGCCGATCTGTTTTACATCATTGACTTAAAGGGGCACTATAGTCACCATAGGAGTTAACACTTTGTTTATGCAACCTTGGTCAAACCTCCCTGCATGTAACTTACACAGCCTTCCTAAACACTGCCTGTAAAGTTGTAAAGAGTCATTTAATGTTTACACTTCCTTCATTGCAAATTCTGTTTAATTTAGAATGTATCTCCTACATTGTTCATAGCTTGCTAGACCCCGCAGGAGCCTACTGTATGTAATTAAAGTTTCAATTACAGAGCATGAGATACAAACTTTTAAAGTAAGTTACATTTGCTTGAAAACGAAACTATTTTTTCATGCAGGCTGTGGCAGTCATAGCCAGGTTATGTCTGGCCGGGGCTGCATAAGGAGAAACAAAAGTGATTTAACTCCTAAATGGCAGTGAGTTAAGTGGTGAAACTTCAGAGGCATGATCTATACACAAAATCTGTTTAATTAAGCTAAAGTTGTTCTGGTGACTACGGAGTCCCTTTAATGAGTGTCAATAGCTTAATGTCAAATTCAAGCAGACAAAAGGCTACATTGACCCTATATGGAAACAATGAAGAGGGCTTGTGTTTGAGTTGTCCTTCAACACCAGGAGCTGGTAGGCATGACCATTTGTAAAACTTCATTTGTTTTATATCTCAGAAAAAATTCAGCTAGAAATCAATTTGTTAGCTGAATTTTCATGATATTCCTTACCTTACTGGGTCAGGCTCCGCCTACGCTCCTCCCCTGCCGACGTCATTATTCAATGCTATCCTATGGGAAAAATCTGACGCTGTAGGTCCGTGAGGATGTCCAACTTTAGATGACCAAAACTCCATTTGGATTCTGGAAGCCCTCTAGTGGCTGTCTGTTAGCTGCAATGTTTCTCTAGAACGGCAATGTTTTACATTGCAGCACTAAGTGCAAAAGGGTCACAGCACCCAGACCACTTTGATTAGCTGAAGTGGTCTGGGTGCCTACAGTGCCTACAGTGTCCCTTTAAGCTATCAATAAACTAATATAAGATTGGATACGTTACTCTAAGCTTACACAATTGTGTCATGCATGCCTTTTTATGAATTAAACTGCTGCTAGCACTGAATTAAATATCTCTAAATATTTAAGGTGCAGGGATTTATAGTATTTGTTCATGAGTGACGGTATAGGCTTAAAGTCTAGTGGTTGCTTCCTAGTCTAAGCTAAGTTTAACCCCTTAAGGACACATGACATGTGTGACATGTCATGATTCCCTTTTATTCCAGAAGTTTGGTCCTTAAGGGGTTAAAGCGGTAAAGTCTTATTTTATTTGTTTTAGAATTTATATGTATATATTTTTAAGTTAAATCTGACTCAAAGCCTCAACCTTGTCTTACAATGTGTTAAAAAATATTAACTATGTAATGCAGAAATTAAGAAACTCACATAGGTGGATTATGTGGACGGTTGCACACTATAAAAACTCCAGTTGCACTGAAAATAGTTGCGTATCAACCGTCTTCCACAAAACTCAAAGAAGTAAATGGTATGCCCATTATTTTTGTGATCTTCAGCTCAGAGCCACCTAACAGAGTCACAGTCCTCACAGTTCAAACACCGAGTGGCAGATTAGGTTATGTGCCTTAATGAGGTAGCGTCTCCCACCTCCCATATTACAACAAATGACAGTGCTTGTTTATTTTTAATAAATTCATTTGTTGCACATTTTTCACATAATATGAATATGCATAAAAACCCTGGTGTTACTGGTAAGTTCAGTCCTAAAGCATGTGTCATGGGTCTTTAAGGTGTTTCTCTGGTGATGTAACTTCAGAATGCCCCTTACATCCTTAACGCAGATGGAGGATGAAAGTCTACAAACTCCACAAACAAAGGTAAATGAATAATATCACCAAATTGTTGCTATGATGCCTGACATTGTAATTTAATAACAGAAATGTAAATGAAAAAAATTTAGACAATAAGACAATTTCGGTATTTATTTATCTTCAAACAAAGATCAGAGCCAGAGTCACAGAAGTCAACAGATTTCCAGACGCATAGATATTGGATACAGTATGCAAAGGTTCATTGGGAATCCCCATAGGAATTAAATAGATTTTAAATAATCTCTGAAGAATTAATATAGACAGAGGGGAAAACCAATGTAAAGCTTATAAAACATTG